TTTTATTTTTGTTTAATGAATGACAAGTATTTTGATACATACAATCAATGAATTTCAATAAATTTCTCTACACAGCCCTTCAGTTGGAGTTGGGGATCTTTACATGATTACTATTATGCTTTTAGAGTAAAGTTCAGGGTTCACTACCCTTTGAATATTAAGAAAACTGGGTTCAGAGAAACCTATATGAAATCTTGACATTATGATGAAAATAAATTCTAACTTCTTTAGTAAATAACAAGCAGCAACCATAATCAACAGCCTTGCCAGACTATTTTTCTCCATATATATGACAATCACCATTTAAACCCAAGGAATGCATGCTAACAACAAATCCCAAGTCTGCAGCTTTTTTTTCTATCCCAATATTCTGATACCACTACAAAGTTCAACTGATGACGCAGCTTATTAATTTTTAGTAATTTATCTTTTTACTGTGAGATCTCACCCATATGTTTAGCAATTCCAAGCTTTACAAAATTCAACCAAATAACTGCATAACCAACATTAGCATTTAACAAATCCCCACAACTTTTATGTTAGCCAATTTGAAGCACCCACCCCTTTTTAAAATGAGAGGATATAATCGATAAACATCCACCATTAACTTAAGAAATGGAAGAAAATAATTCATGCAGAGGCAATCCACATCAAGATCAATGTTTAGGTTAATTTCAGAGTTGGTGTGCAAAATAACAAACAACTTTTTATTCAATCGATTAGAGGGAATAAGGGAGTATAATTCCCGAAGAATACAATAAAGATGAATAGTAAATCAGCTAGCAGTCAAGTCCAGTTGAAGTTAGAAATAGTTAATGCTTCATGATAAAAGAAACAAATAGTAAATCAGCTAGCAGTCAAGTCCAGTTGAAGTTGGACACAGTTAATGCTCCATGATAAAAGAAACATTTAATGAATCAGCTAGCAGTCATATCCAGTTGAAGTTGGACACATTTATATTTAATTCACATATTATATAACACAATAATTTTAAGCCACGTCTTGCTTCTTTCAACCAAATCCGTCACTTTCAAAAATTTTCAGCGTTACCCAAATACTGAAGAACAAATTAGAAAAACAGTTAGAATTCATGACCCAGTCCATGTTATAGAGTTATATAAAGTTACAAATATGGTTGTTTAGCCACTTGTGAGTAAAACAGAGTCAATAACTGGATGTGACTGCAAACTAGCGGAATATTTCATGGGACCAAATATTAAAGAATCTTCTACTAGAGAGATGGGAGATGAAACCCATTATAGATATAAAATATGAGCTTGATCTGTGCAAACTATCATCATCTAAGAGAGAGCGTGAGGATATGCTAATAAATCTAGACTAAACTTATAGACAATAGGAAAAAACTATGCTTGACGAGTAATCCATAAAGTAAGAATTAAGCATTTTACTTCAGCACATAAATCCAGTTTAAGTGAATATCTCTTTTATTCTAATTACGAACATTAAACATCAGACTACACATCTGTGGGCTCAATTCTAGATCAATCTTGAATTTCAAAACATTTAATCGAGATTCAATCTATCAATATCATTCAGCCACCTTCTAATATCTAACGGAAAAAATTAAAGAAATGGTCAACATAATGAAGATAATGATAATTTGAGATTCCATCAAATACATTGAAGACCTTTACTGCAATTAAAATTATTCTTTTAAGGCAAAAAAAAACTAAAAGGGAAGGGATCTAGGAAAGATGAAGCATAAACGTAAATGAAAACAAATTAAAGCAAACACTCCAAAGACAAAATTAAAAAAAAAACGAGAAGAATACTTTTCAACGGCGGAAAGGACTTCGGTTTTATCGATCTTGCCACCAACACCGGAAGCCAGATCAAATGCACCAGCCTTCGACATTCTTCTCCGTCTTCTCACTCTTCGCTACAAATCTAATTAAAAAAAAACAAATCATTAACAAAGTTTAGTCAAGATTCCATTGAGAATCGATCACATACACCTTCTGAACTTGGAAAGCAAAAATCAATTTTGTGTAGCGCCAGCAAATGAAAATGCAGTGTCAGCTCTAACAAGTGTACAGGGATGCCCAAGTGCACACAGCCTTTTATTTAATGTATGAAAAAACGTAGGGCAGGGTTTAGGGCAGGGGGCAGGTCCTAGGGCACTGACAGCATGCACTTTCTTAAAGGTAATATAGATTTAGAATTAGCGCCGCGTTCCTTCGAAATGATCGGATTAAAATTATAAATATTAGAATTATTATTGTTATTATTTTTATATGTTTTTGTTATTATTAAACGTTTTATAAGTTTTGTTAATAAAATCAATAAAACGCTATTGGTTTTGTTATTTTTTCTATTGATTTTGTTATTGTTTGACACTTTATCGGAAATATTAAAAATATTAATGTTTTAGGTAAAAATAATAATATTTTATGTAATTTTTTTTATCGTTTTTGTTATTTAAATAATAAAACCGATAACGCATTTTTTAATTGTATATTAAGGGTGTCGTACTATAGAACTTATCGTTCCTTTCGCCAACTTCTAATGACCCTGAATCCATCCGAAAAATTACAATAATATATTCGGTAAATTACACATTTAGTATATAAAATTATCAGTTTAATATGTTTTAATACCTAAACTTTCATTTTTTTTGTTTCAAATTTATACATAACATTTAGTGTTTGTTTTATTTTAGTATCTTATAATTAAAATTTTAACGCGTTTATTATTTAAACTATCAGTTTTGATATGTTTTAATACCTAAAACCTTTAATTATTTTAAAAAATTAACGTTAAATTTAGAATGGGTACTAAAATGAAGTAAAAACTAAATTTTAGGTATGATTTTAAAAAATTGAGAGTTTAGATACTAATACGGATCAAAACTGATAATTTCAGCATTAAACACATAATTTACCCTAATATATTTCAAATCTTCTGCATATCCTCATCTAATTAAGTTGTTTATTCTCTTTCCTGCCGATCAAACCATAATCTTCTGAATTTTAGTGGGAAAAAATTATTTTTATTTATATTTTCATTTTAGAATTTATGCTTGTATTAGTGATTCGTGATTATTTTTTTTAATAATTATTTTTTAAATAGTCTGAAATAATTATAAGATAGATAACGTAATTACAAAAATAATATCTACTTAAATTTTTCTTAATTTACTGATAAAATATACGTCATATAAACGCAATGACTTAAACTCAATACCTTTAAATATAACGATATTTTTAGCTCAAAGACCATTTGATGAGTGCTTTGATAATATTTATTTTTACCTAGTTTATGTTGTTTATTCTCTAATGTATCCTAACCAACTAGAACCTTCTAAATTTTAGTAATTTTATAGAAATAATACTTATTTAAAAAATATTTAAAATAATAATATTAAAAAATATTTAAAATAATAATATTAAAAAATATTTAAATAAATTATATTTTTCTAAGATGTATTTAAATGGAAGCGTCTTATTGAAACTGTTCTCAGTTGTAGGTACCTTTATCTTATGTAACATTACACGTAATGTATTAGGAAACTCAATTTTTATTAGATGAACGGCTAAAAAAATAAGTTTAAATTTTATCTCGAAAAATATTTTGGTGTCTAAAAAATTTTTCGTTAAAAATAAATGTCTAACGTTTTCTCTATTACCATTTTAAATTTTCGGACGATAATTGTCGTTAAAAATCTTTGTTAAGTGGCACATGTCACATTAATGTATATTTTATTTTCTAAAGAATATTTTATATTAAAAAAAGGAACAATGTGCATCCCCTCTGCCTTCTCTACCTTCTCCCCCTCTCCTACTATGGTCGACTGTCACGGCCAAAGGCCAACAACCACGGCTATCCAAACGGCAAACGGAAAACAACCGACCACTACATCCAATCATATGGTTAATTTCCACGATCGATCTAAAGAATTTTTATGGATTCAAAATCTTATAACGAAAATTTTCATTTACACCATTTTTAGATGTTTGATTGGTTGCAAAAATATGGGGCTTTTGGTCGTAGGTGGTTGACCGATTACACGTCGTTGGGTGCCCAATTGATTGACGGCGTTGGTGGCGTCCGGCGGTGGCAAAGAGATTAAAATTAAAATTTTAAATGTTTGGGGTTTTTTCTTAAGATTTGATAAAAAAAATTAGGTTTTTTAAAATAAAAAGTATATTTTTTATTTTAAATAAAATTATCATAACGTGACACGTGTCACTTAACAACCAAATTTAACGACAGTTAACGTTCAGGCACCTAAAAGTATAACGGAGAAAGCGTTAGACATCTATTTTTAACGAAAAAAATTTTTGGCAGACAAAGTTTATACACTTATTTTTATATTAAGCCTAAATGAAATGAAAATTTATAAATTTAAGGCGGATTTTTGGTTATGTGCATTTCAATAAAAAAAAACTTAAAAGGGTTAACGAGTGTTGGCACAAGTGGTTATGATTCATGAATTTGAGCTTGTAAGGCCAAATTAAAATCCTATCACTATCACTCTCGGTAGAAATCTATAAATTTCTATAAAAATTTCAATTAGGTCTTATGTATACCCTGCCCTAGACTAGGGAGCCACCCTAACCTAAACTTTTTTGTACTAAAAAAATGGAAATTTTGGAAAGAAGCCTTTAGATGTATAATTATTTAATTTTTTTTATACAATTGGCCAAGTGTGTGGAACACTCGTCTTCGGGTTAACGTTAAGTTACCATAGGCCGTAGTTGGTAGCATTCGGATTACTCTTGACGGCAAAGGGTCATTTCGATTTATACATGGCCGTTGATGCACTCAAGGATCGAAGTCACGACACGAGTGTCGATGGTGATCATGATAAGAGATTTAATAGTGGTCTCCTATTGCAATAGTGTTGTTATATAGAGGTAGTGGTGCCGTCCAAAATCATTATTGTCTGACTGTGACACCTACAGTCACCGCAATAGCATTCATTATATCCGCAATCACGATAAACACAATGCAACAAAAAAACACGACGGTAACCATAGTTTAAATCCCTAATCATGATATTCTTATTCTTGATACCTTTACTTGCCTTATTTCCCAGGCAATCATCTTGGTTACAAAAACATTAAAAACAGAAAGGATAAGGTTTGTTTCTTGAACAGTTTTGAGACAGACTTCATAATAGTGTCATTACAAAGCTTCCTAACATGCATTGCAGCTTTTAATTGCATCACAACTGCAAATGAGAAAAATGTCTCAAAGGTATTCGTTCATTTCCTTTTCAAGTCAAAACACAAAAGCACGGTTAACGGAGCTCCTCCAAGTCCCCAACATGCATTAGAAGTCCCTTGCATGCTTTGCTACCTCATTCTACAAATTGAAACATTGTGTAAGGATAAAGCTCAATATATGCACAGCACTCACCAAAACTATCAAAATAGAGAATGATTTTTAACATTAACAACATTAGTTAAATATTTTGACTCTTTAAGTAAAATGTTAGAAATATGAAAGCTTCTGAGCATGAGCGTGCATATGTACGAGATAGAGAAAGAGAATTTTAATCCTAATTTGTCACAGGTTCCTTCAAATGCACCGCACCTTAAGCAGATCAGTCTAACGAAGAAGTGAAGCAACCAATTTTATGTGCAAAACTACATAAAAGCACAAATGACTGGTCTACGACAAGTAAAGGTACTTCTTTTATGGGAAATAAGGCAATTATCATAAATTTGGAGATGCAGCAGTATAAGCACTTGAATTTCTTAATGGAATCCTAAGTTAGATACTATCAACTACATTGCAGTCGGATACAACAGCTTTGTGAAAAGCTACAATTTCCCCAATGTAAACAGGATTTAAACTAATAGTACATCTAGTAAGTTATGAAAGGGAGAAAAAATAAATAAATGTAACACCTCAAATGCATTCTTCAAATGATCAAGTTCCTTATCCAAGTCATTGATAGCCTGATTATACGCTTGCATCGGAGAAGACTGACTGGTCGTGTGAATCTACGAAATTGCATCAAATTGGTTAAACCCCAAGAAAAGGCACTCAAATGCATACAATAAATCCTTTAGCCCCAGGAATTAAATAGCAATCTGCCACTGTAATAGCGCCCATTATATAGCGGTAGCAGTACAATCCGAAACCGTTATTGCATGACAGAGATACACACGATCACCACAATAAGGCCGCTATGTCCACAATCACGATAAAACGCGATTAAAATCCCTGTTTAGCCCTATCCAAGAAAGAAAAAGACTGACCCTAACAAGGATTTTATACTGAAGAGGGTGAGGAAGCTTGTAACCAGCAAACAAAACGTTCTCATCTCTATGCAATTGCCTGATTGTTCATCATCATCAATAACAAGAGGGAAAAGACGAATACTCAGCCTCTTAATCAAGCGCAATAAGCAAAAAGAAACGAAATTTTAAAGGGTTAGGAGATAGAATGAAGCGTACATTCGGAGAATGTTGCCGATGGTGTGGTCTTCTCTCTCGATAGTGAAAGTCGCTGCATTTATTATCTTGGTGTCTCTCTCGTAAGAAACCCTAAAATTTTAACCAACAAATACATGTGTGTGTGATAAGTTATGAATAGATGATTCAGGGAAAGAGAGATAGGATAAAAAAAAGAGTGTACTTTTTGGTTCCCTCAGGGACGACGAATCTCTCGTAACGGTCGGGGGCGTTCATGGCTTCCTCTCTCTTTCTTCTTCTTTTCCTCTGTAAACTCTGCTCTTACTGCACCGGGAAACAAAACGAAATGGTTTTGCCTGTGACTCGGTATGATTCAATACATAATTGTATGGGTAAAGTACATAATGGTCCCCGACTATATGGGCGGCTATCTTTTTTAGTCCATGACTATTAAAAGTTATAAAATAATCATATAAATATTGAATGTTATAAAATGATCCTATAACTATTGAATGTTACAAAATAATCCTCAACTATAGGTAATTCCATGTCATTATTGAAAAAATATTACGTCAACAATTCTGTTAGTTTAAAGTAAGTATAAAATATCATTTATTAAAAGATAACTTTCAACTTATTTAACGTTGAATGTTTATACCTTAACATTCATAATACTCGAACATAAGACAACTCATATATCACCTCAACACTGCTCCAAGCTCTACACTTTGTTAAGAATCATAACATATTTTATATATCTTATAAAGTATGCTACAAAACTAACCATTCAACTTCTAAGCTTTGGTTAGCTCTGCCTTATTTTACTTATCGTATTTTTAATTTTTCTATTTTGTTAAATAATTTACAGATTAAATCATCTTGCTCACTCTACCGTTAATTTTTTAACGGTGTTATAACATGACGCAAGCATCAAAACGACGTCGTTTGAAAATCTCATTACACTCAAACATGGAAATGTGACCTCCTTCCATTGACAGTACGACAGATTTAAGAGATTTCCAATGTTTCCTCGCCAAAGTGCAAACACAAGAAATAATCTCTCTAACCACTTGTTGATTAAAGTAAAATCTTATACAAAGTATCGTAAGAAAAATGGCGATACCAACACCATCCCAATTCGGCCTATGGTTTTATCGTTCCTTTTACCCATATCATATTAGAACAACAATTTGAGAATATTTCTAGATCCGTCACTGGACGAATGCCTCCGAAGTTAAACTGACTCTCTACATTTCGTACAACCGAAAAATACAGTGAATTTAATAATATTGCTCTTCTTTCAACTAATAAAACAACACTCAAAATAGGAATGATTGAGGTGACGTCGATGCTATTGTTTTTATATTTTCCGGCCATTGATTTCAACGATGAGAATTAGAAATGATTTTTTTATGAACATTAGGTTTTTAGCAGTTATTTTGGAAAAGTAGTTAAATTTAGCTTAATGTGTTAAGGAATTTTTTTTTTTGCAAATTTTGCATACTCATTATTTTTAAGAAAAGAAAATTAAAATTTTGGATTCATTTTTAAATTTTTGGATCCGCTACAGGTTTTTAGCTTCTTCTTCTTAGATAGAAAAGATTCAAACCATTAAAACAAACTTCAATAAAAATTGCTTTCAAATAAAAGGTTCTTTGTTACTACATTTCGGTTGATATATTTTTGATAAGGTAGAAAGGTATTATATTTAGAAAAATGTCGGAAATCGAATCCACACAAGGTTGGACGATATGAGTATCCCTATCACTCGGTCAATTAATGGGTCTCAATTTCGGTTGATATATTAACATTATACATAAATATATTTCATATTTTATAGTTTAACAGATAAGCTTGTCTTATTTCTGTGACGAGCAAGGCGGGGAAACATCTCCTGTATAAGATAACCTAACATTAGAACACGAAGCTTGTGTATTTTCTTCTTCTTCAGCCCTTAAAGCCACGTTCTGCAAGTAGATTCCCCGGCAAGGAACGCTTTGGCTGCAATCGAATTTCATGGCACGCCGGAGGCACTCGTTCCTCTTATGTTCTGGTAAAGCACGTCGCTCACTTGCACAGCTGAACCCTGCGTGCATGCATGCATATATGTTTCATCAACCTAAATAATTGATATATTTAACACCTAGAGTAAACTATGTATTTAATCATTGAACTATTCTCGCAGTTTCGTTTCAGTCACCCAACTAATTGTTTTTTCCAAAATCATACATAAAGTTATGTTTTGGTTACCAACCGTTAAAAAGTTAACAGAATTGTTGACACACAATTTTTTATTTTTTATCTTTCAAAATGATGTGGCATTATCTTATGGTGACATGTTAACATCACCTTAATTTTTTAACGGTGGGTGACCAAAATGTAATGTTAGAAATTATTTTGAAAAAAAAATAGTCGGGTGACTAAAATAAAAACACGGGAATATTTACGTGACTAAATACGTAATTTACCCTAAAATTTACTGATAGAAGAAAATAAATTTTACCTGTTTGCGACATGGTTTTTGTTGATCACAATAATTCTGATCAATAATGATAGGGTTAGTGACGTTGTTCATCACAATATTTTGGAACTTGATATTTCTAGCATATCCCGATCCACCCTGTAATAAAAATTTGACCATATTAAAAGATTATAATATATAATTGAAGAAGAGATAATCAGAAGAGATAATCATAAATCCCGAACATATACCGTAAAATAAATATGGAAGATACTAGAAATAATATAGTTTTTTATTAATCTAGGGTAAGTACAAGAGAATATTGTTTCAAAGATAACTCTTAATCTCTTGACATTGAACGTTCACACTCGAACCCGAGTCCTCAAGGAATGATATAGTTTAATATAGGCAATGAATTTTTATTTGTAAGCCTTTACAATTTCGTAGGAATTAGGCAATGGATGAATGAATTTCTTGGTGGATGGTTGAAACTTTAGGTAAACAAATTGTGAATAGCAAGTCAAGAAGCAAGTGGAAAACTAATGAAAAGTGGTTGTTTGAAGTCGTTTCCATGTTGTAATCATTTTTCAGTTTTTAATTAAATTATAGAGGTTTTGATTCTTGTTATTCACAATTTTTTTTACGGATATTTTTTAAACTCGACTCCATATCAATGCATCAAAAATGAATTTTATAACGAATTAATTACCTGCCAAGTCTTTATTCTCACTCCATTGGAGGTTCCTGAAATTGTCGCTTTATCAACTATTACATTGGACACAAAACCGGCAGAATTTCCGGCTCCTAAGCTCCCAATGCTGCAAATAGAACAATTCCCATTAGAAAATTTTACTTTAAAATGTGACTTAATTCGAAAACTGTACGTTTGTCAAACTCGAGACCTGATGCCATGGCCCGGACCACAAGTTATACCGGTCGCATGTACATTTTTCGAGCCGCTAACGATCGAGATGCAGTCATCTCCGGTCCCGATGACACAGTTGTTAATGTTAATATTCTGGGTTCCGGTCACGTGGATCCCATCGGTGTTCGGACTATTCCCCGGTGCTTTCACCTGAAGATTAAACGCGTCGACGTTCACACATTGTTGAAACGTAAGGTGCATTTGTTGTGCGTTTGTTATCTGCAGACTTGATACTCTCACGTTAGTGCATTCATTGAAGGTCACAGCCTGCATTTGCAAAGAGGAAACATTAACATACACGTAGTCACGGACCGACACAAAGTTTTATGTCAATGGAGGCGAATTTAAGGAACGGAAATAGATTGTCAATAGAAAATACAAAGAAAATTAATCTGAAGGCGAGTAGTAGCTTACAGTTGGGGCTTCCTTGCAAGGCTGCAAAACAGAAGAATCAAAATTAGTTGTTAATATTGAATATCAATTGATTGGTACAAATGATTTTGATGGCAAAAATCACTCACGAGGGCTTCGTTGATTTTGCAGGACTTTTCCCACCATGTCCTACCGCTGCCGTCGATTGTGCCTCCGCCTTCAACTCGTAAATTTTGAACGTTATCGAAGAATAGCCACCGTCTTCCGCCATCTTCGTAATCCGAGTGATCCTCGGAAGCTTTGATTGTTCCATAGATCTATCATGTTTGCAATCATAGGAAAAACGTTAACTGTCGATAACGATGATGCACGACTTCACCGAGAGCCCGGAAATCTCACCTGCAATATGAGAGGAGATTTGCAAGGCCCTGAGAAGTTAATTGGCTTAAGACGATAAGTCTTCTGCTTAGGTACCACCATAGTAGCTCCTTGAGAAGATGAACATGCATACTTCCAAGCTTGCTCGAACGCCTACGTCGAAAAACATATAGCACGGTGATCATCATTGAGAGAACAAAACATCCGAAATGAAGAAGTGAAACTGTGAGTACCTGAGAATCGTCTGCTCCATTAGCTTTAGCTCCAAAATCATCGACATTGACTATCTTCGAGTCGTCGGACACGCACTTTGGCATCGTAGTCAAACCGGTCCGGCGAGTAGGGATTACGGTCGTTTCGTCCGACATGAACATGGTCGAAGGTGCGAAAGTACGGATGATACGTCGGGCGGTGATAAGCACGGCCATGATGAAAACCGACGCGAAATGGGTCCTCTATGTAACTGCCGGTGCTAAAGCAGCAGGACAGAGAGATTAATGTGAACAGGAGTGGGAGACAATGAGTGTTTAGGGACATTGTGTACTTCAGTTTCGGACTAAATCGAAGACAAAAGACAATATTGATTGAATACCTGAAAGGATGGGATGTGGTTAATTTGTATTTATAGGCAAGATTGATGGTGGTGTTCCATTTCGACACAATTAATGATACCTATGTCCAATTGCAACTAATTTAATTTTAGAGACATGCTGATGAGGTCAGACGTCATTTAGGTATACATAAGTTGAATAAATATTTTATGGTCGAATTCTTTAATGGTCGAATTCTTTTATTAGTTTTTATACTATGTATAAGTTGTAGAATAAATATTTTTTTTAATCTGTCTTTTAGGTGTTTGTAATTTAATTATATTGTACCTGATTTATTTGAATCATAACCAAAATTTTAAAATCTAAAAAGTTTATAAATAAAAATTTCGAAATAAGAGTAAAAGGATTAAATCATAGAGTACAAGGATTAATAGAAGAATTTGACCAATTCAAGAATGTGTGTGAGAAAGTTACAATAGAAGTTTTGGCTTTTTAGTTTGATGGATATTATTATTCGATTTTGGGGAAATATATATGCACACACGTGTGTATGTGTATATATATATATATGTATGAGAGAAAAATTTTAAAAATTTTAAAAATTTTATGGAAATAATTGAAAATTTTAAATTTGAGGAGTTTAATGATCTTGCGTAATTTTATA